GATTTTGAAAATTTTAAAGGATTTAGAAAATTTCATAAACTTAGAAGATTTGAAAGATTGTAAAGCTTAAATTACAAAGATAAAAAATTCAATATTTTAAAATATATAAAAGCTTGAAGAATGTCAAAGTTAGGAATGATTTAAATTAATTCCACCTTTATCATTATTTTAAAATCGATCAATTTTTCGAAAAAAATTCTTTTTAAATTCCAAATAAAAATTATTTTAAAGAAAATTTTATATTTAAATTTTTTTATATAATCTCTATATTATATCAGATAATAAAAGATATCCGACTTCTATATCCAACCGAATAAATTTATTCCAAACCTCAACATACTTTTCAAACACTCCAAATACCGATCCTCGATATTGTCTCCGACCAAAAGCCCATTGGCATCCACGAACGAACGAAAATCCCTTGCTAACTCGGTCAATATTTTCAGAACGAGAAAAGAAAATCTCATTTGCAACTGTGTCACAATCGATTCTAACTCGGTCAACTCGAAACGCTTTGCAAACAACTCAAGAGTTTTCGTTTTTTCTCACTTTTCGTTTCTTAAAAATACTAGTTTTTCAATTTTTAACAACAAACTTTTAGATATTTTTAAATCAGAAACGATCATTATTTCTGAGAATTAAAATTCATCGCTTCTACCATCATTCAAAAAAAATCATTCATGTAATGACATTCATTGATATACATAAATGAATATATTTAAATAAAATTTAGGAAATTTAAAGAATTTAGAATATTTTTTTTCTTAAATTTTATCCAATTCTGTATACAAATCAATCATCGTTGTCATTATAATTCCGTTCACTCATTTCGTAATTCTAAATCCTTTATAGAGAAAAAAATCAATGAATCCAAAAATGTTGAACCAAGATAGAAAATATAAAATTGAATTATGCCTTACTCCATTGACCTAGAGAAATCCAAGAAAGAAAGAAAGAAAGTCTTGACTAAAAATAATTCAATATCTGCCGACACCGATTTGAAAATTTTACTGCACGATCGATACTCCTGCGACTTCTTTCCTTTCGAGGGTGGAGAAAATGCATCCATCCAATGCCTAGAAATATCTCGTGCGTTTTATTAAGTTAGAAACGATTCGATTTCGAAGATGGAATTCGCGAAAACGATGGTCGTTCAACAAGGTAATTTCAGTTACTCGTTTCGATTTCACAATTCTATTTCATTTTTTTTTTTTTTTTTTTTGCTTTTAGGAATCACGAAATGGTGATTTTCTCTCCGATTGGAAAATTTATACGAAATATTTCGATGAATTTGTCCTTTCTATTAAAAGGTTTTTTAAAACGTAGCTTTATTCAAGAAATTGATTGAAAGAATTTTTTTACTTGAATAATAGAAAGAAGTTATGCTTTGTATAACGAGGAAATTAATTTTGAATGATAAATTACTCGAGACTGAATATTCGATAAAAATTTTACAGTTTAAAATATGAAAAGATGGATATGCTTTTATTATATTTTTAAACGAGAATAATATGTAATTAAATTTAGTGTTAAATTGCATGATTCGATATGATAAATATTTCTTTGCAAATTCGAATATTTAAAATCTTCTTAAATGACATTTTAAAAATTATAAATAAAAATTATAGGAAAACGATTCTATTCATCCTCGATCAAAAACTAAAAAAATTGAAAATTTTTTTCACTAATCCTTTTTATCAATATTATCTTTCAATTTTTTTCATGACTTAAAACACGTATTCTTTTTGAGAGAAAGCAGAATTCGTCAGCAGAAAACTCGACATAATTCAAATCCTATGCAGTTGGATGGTAATCGATTCGGAAATGAAAAGCAAAAGCTGAATCTGCAGGCTGGATTGGACTCGGCTTAAAATTAATTACGCAAGATTCTCTTGGCGTAACTAAAGTCCGATGTTACCCGACTCCAGGATATCGGTCTTCTCCGATCTCGTAATACCGTTACACGTGCACAGTCGTAGAATTAGGAAGTCTGTAAGATCTTTTGCTGATCTCTTACGCTTTCTCCGCGAAAAGGTGGTCGATAACACTTCCGCGAGAGAGAACTTTCGAAAATTTCGCGATTGTCAGTGGATTGTCATTTTTATAAGGATATGCATGGTTTGTTACAATAGATAATGACTGAACTAGATAAGAATAGATATCATGCAACCTTACATGGCAACTTACATGGTAAGTGTACTTTCATCGAGAATGGCTTTTGTGTGCTCGTATTAGGATACGAAGTTGATCAGGCTTATGGCTTAGAGGTATAAGAAATTATCTTATTGAAAGGAAAAAGATGTGAAAATATGATAGAATTTATAGAATATTCTTAGAAATATATTGCTTCGTATGAAAAAAATTTTATATATGATATATATATGAATCTTATTTATTGAAAAAAATTTAAGTGTTTGCGTTTTAATATATAATTTATGTTATTAAAGACATCGAGCCATAATATTTCAATAATTTAATAATTGTCTGATAATAGATGAAAATATATAATATTTAATCATAGGATTAATTAATATTTCATTAACTGATTTTCTGAATTGAATCTATATAATTAAATGTAAATTGAATATCCTATTACAATAGGATAATTCCTATTACAATAGGATTCTATTATTTTACATGAAATTTATATAATGAAAATTGACATTAATTGAATTTAATATCCATAATAGATTACAGATAAATAAATATATATAGATTCAATTGAAGTTCAATTAATTTTGTACTAAAATTTCATTGTAATAAAGTTTTTTTTAATTTTAACCAATTATTATGTATATGATGAATATATTCATACACATCTTTTTATTTTTGCGATACAATTTAGATAAATACTTTTAAAATAAGATAGCTAATATTAAAACAAAAATAATAAATATTCTAAAACTCTCTTAAGAATAATATACATACCTGTTATTTATATTTCTATTGTTATGATTTTAATCACTTTATTGTTTTGCAAATTTTTCTTATAATCAAAAGTAATCCATGATTCTGAAAAGGTTAGGAACTAACCTACTATTCACACTTTTAGGAAAATATATTTAGCACAAAGATAATAAATTATATACTGTCTTCAATTCGAAAGCACACGATTAATCCTCGATAAATTAACATAGTATAAATTCGCGTTATATTTCCGTGTTGCGACTGTTCAAACGCTTTATTTGCCGAGCGTTTACATAAAGGCGATAAACGAATCGATTCTCGTAAATCAACGAAGGACGTCGAGTCAGTAGAAGTGGCGCCAGTAATGGCTGTACGGGACTATCTTGGCGTTTTAGAAAGCTCGTTTTTTCCCTATCGTTTCTCTCCGCGAACGACATTTTTACGATCCCTAAATCCAGACTGAGACCTGAGAGAATTAATCGGTGATCGTGCTAGCATTCGGTATCCTTGAAAGTTAAATCGATGTTATCCGATGTCTCGTAGAGTTTTCTTTCGATCGCATTGTAGCAAACTATATTCAAAATTATTCGAATATAGTTCTAACAATTTCATATATAAAATATGTGCTAAATGTGTTTCAACAAGATATTTAATAGGCGAAATTTTTATCAAGAATTTGTAAATAAATAAATTTGTAATGATTAAAAGAAAAAAAGCAATTGCAAAATTGCTTTCTTTGCATCAGGATTATGATAGGTTAGTGAGTTTTCTTTCGATCACATTACAATGAACTTTCGAGATTATCGAATATCGTTTTAACGAATTTATGTATACGGTATGTCATAAACATTTTTTACTATGATAATTGGAAATAATTAGTAACAAAGGTAAGTGAAATTTATATCAAGAATATATAAATAATTAAAAAAAAAAAGGAATTGTTAGGTTAGATTAGGTTAATCACTTTTAGATTGCATTGCAACAAACTTCGAATTTATCGAAATTATTGAAATTATTAAATATATACGATTTTATATATAAAATATGTGTTTAGTACGATAATAATTGAACGATTTTAATTCGTCATTTCATTTTCTGTTTCGATTCTTTTCTCGTCGCTGTTTTCTACTTTTAAATAATTGCGTAATAGGTTAGATATGATGATTTCAATTATGATGATTCTAACAATATAATTGCTTTCAAACATGATCAAAAGAAGGAAAGAAGAAAAACTACTGACAAATTAACGTTTGGTGATATGATAGAAAGTTCAAAGCGATTACGAAGTTTACATCAAAGACCATTCAAGCGTCGAATAACTCGATTCATCGGTCTTTTTTGCTCGTAGCTTCTCTTTCGTCTTCTTGGGGAAAAGAGAAATCCCTTTTCATCGCGTGATATTGCTTTAAGAAATCCGAAAAACTTTATGGTTGAAAATTGAACGTTCGCGATTTCTCTGTTTCAAGCAATACGTTGGTAAATCCTATTCGTTTTGAACGATTCGGCTGTCTATGCTATACGATGCGGGATGATATAAAAATAAAAGATGGTCACTTGGGAAATGTTTTAAAGATTACTTCTGTATTGCGAAGATATCTTTTTTTTTATTATTTGGTCATTTTATTGTGTTCCTTATGTTTTCTTATGACTATTTTATTTTGATGGATTGTTTTTATTGTAATTTTTATAAAAGAAATTAGTAAAATAAAAGTAAAAATTAATAATTTAAATCTTACCTATGCTAGATAAAAATGAATGAATTTGTATTATAAATGATGCGGAAAATGATCAAATAGAATATAATAGATTTCATTAATTAAAAATTTAATAATCATAATATTTGTATATATATGTGTATATATTGTCTTATAAATGTATATTATATCTTATTATATCTAAAATATAGAATTCAAACTAAAAATAATGAAAAAAATTAATATGAAATTTCGATTATTATATTGGATTATCTATTCCAATTCAATTTTTAATCAATTGCTATTCATAAGATAGTAATATCGAATCAAAAAATTTTTAGAATATGTTTTGAATATTGCAAAATATATTTTAATGCTAAGTTTTTTTTTTCGTTTCAGGGTTTCTTTAGGAGAAGCATTCAAAAGCAAATAGAATACAGGTGCCTGAAAGACGGCAACTGTTTGGTCATCAGAATAAGTCGGAACCGCTGTCAGTACTGCAGATTCAAGAAGTGCCTAGCTGTCGGCATGTCCAGGGATTGTAAGTAATCAATTATAAATTATATTTTCTGTTAAGTCATGAACAACATAAAATATGTTATAAAAAAAATATTTGAAAGATTTCAAAAGATATTTTATAATATAATTTATAAATGTAATTTTATTTTTCTATTTCTCTTCAATTGATTTCTATCTTGTCTTCAATATTTCACAGGATAATAATAGAATGTAATTTTAAAGATAATTTTAATAAAATAATAAATTGTTATTATATTATGATTATTAATACATATCTATAATTAATTTGAAATGTCATTGCTTATACAAATAATTACATATGTACTATATAGTATATAGTATTATATAGTATACTATAAATTCATCAATGTTTTGTATATAATAATATAATATGCGTATTTAAACAGTCAACAAATATTCATTTATACGGGCTACATAACATATAAATTTCAATTAAATTCAAGAGATATGATAATGAAATCTAATCAATTATATGCGTAGTTTAATTGAGTAGGAATTTTATTTTATATTCATTAATTTATCTCATCGATTTATTAAATATAAAGAATTTGTTAAAAACAAAGCTAATTTAAATACGATAGCAAATATAAATTATTAAATTTTATAATTGCACGAAGATTTTTTTTATTATGTATTTACAATTATGTATATCATATTTTTAAAATTGTTCATTAATCATTAATCTCAAATCATCAATTATAATATTATTGGGCTAATATAACGCAAGATTAAATTTTTCAATTTCAATTATGTCATTTTATTCTTCATTAATTAAAAATTATCTAAAATTAAATGATTTAATACAAACTAATATCAATTGAGATTTAATAATAGTTACAAAATTAATACAATAAATTAATATAATTTAAATTTTAATTTTATTAAGTAATTTTTAATTATTTTGAAAAAGATTAAATAAATGGATCAAGCAAAATTTTCAAATTCGTTATAAAAATTAAATTTTGCTTAGATTTTTCTTAGATTGCTTAGATTTTGAAATTTATTCGCAACCAAACAAAACTCTTTTACATATCTAGTGGCAATAACCAGCGAGTCTTTCAGTTTTCGGAATTTCTGACGTTCGTCGAGCAGTTAAAGTAAACTGAAACGAAGTTGCGTACATAATTAAATGTCAAAGTTCTATCGTGCAATATGCGGCGGTGTATAATAGGAAACCGTCCGTACTTCCCGCTCGTATTGTCGGGAAAATCGTAATAAGCCCCTGTTAGTCTTGTGATCCGCTTAAGAAGCGGATGTAACTGGGGTAAAACTGGCCTGAAACCTCTGCATCCTCCGTTGTCTGGAGTAATTCTCTCGAGTATCGTGTAAAATATTAATCTTTGGTAAATATGGTTATTTTCGGAACAAGATGTTAGAATGGACAACATAAATTAGTATAAAATATGGAAATATTTATTAAATTAATACGAAATAATTTTTTAAACAAAATTTCAATTACACGTTTTTTTAAACGATACGTCAGTTAATTAAAACGATTTCAATCGAAATATCGTTTTATATATTTTTTCCACTGATTAGAAAATTTCATTATTCGTATAATTTTATTATTAATTTACTAAAAATAATCTTCATTTAATCATTTATATATTTTGTAATCTATCTGTACTAAAATGTAACGAAGAAGACCGGAAATTTATTCGAAACTACTTTGGAAGTGTTTCAAACTTCAAGTGATTAATGAATACAGGAGATGAAAACTTCTAATGCATACGGTAATCAACGTTGCCCTTAATTCAACGCTTCCAGAATAAAATGCCAAACATCCTATTTTTATTTTACAATCTGGTCGCTTAATTTCACTCAATTTATTTTTTTATTTTATTTTTCAAACTTTTTAATTTTAAATCGTTAATTTGAAATCTACAAAATAACTCATTTCATGATATTAAAAATTCATCGTTTTTTCCTTTTTAGAATTAATTAATTCCGAATTTAAATGAGATAAAAATCAATGATCATCTAAAAAACTACCGTCTTTAAAAGTCAATAATGGTATTTTAAAATCCGTCTAAAATATTAACGATTACATTCTACACCCTAAAGCCAGTGCCTTTGAAAATCAATACTGATATCTATTTTAAAATTTCTGTGTAAAAGTTCGACAATTTCATTTTAAAGTCCTTTAGAAACCAATCACTTATATAGAAACAATTTCTCCACCCTTAAAAGCACCCTTTCAAGAAACGATTAATGACGAATAATGAATAGAACGACACTTTAATAATACGGATAAACAATTAAACTCCATTTCTTTTTCTTCATTCCAGCGGTTAGATACGGCAGGGTGCCGAAACGTTCAAGGGAACGTGGCCCCGAAGACACGGTACCGACCACCACGACAACGACCACCACCACTGGTGTACAGCAGCTCACGTCCCCAACCGGTGGAAACAATAACAATAACAACACCACTAACAATAACAACAACAACAACAATAACAACACCAGCAGCCAGAACAATAACAATAGTCAAGCTCAAAACGCTATACCGTGTGTACCACCAGCTGCAGTGGTAGAGGCGGATCAATCAGACGCGGATGTGAAACAGTTGGCGGTTTACGATGTGATACTTCAAGTTTCTCAGGCGCACCACGCTCACTGCGGTTTCACCGAGGAATCAACGAGGGGTATCGTCCGGAAACCGATGATAATACCGGTGAGTTTACTGAAAATTCGATGGCAAAATTGGAGGAGCACGGTTACGTTAGCGGTGGATACGATTCGTAGAGAAATTATTGAAAATTACGTTTACCGTGATATAATTTTATCGATTGAACGAATGATATAATGTAAAAAATACGATGATGAAAGTATTATTGCAATATTGTGATAGATTATTACTTTAAAGTTAATTTTTGATTATTTTATTGAACTGATTAATGGGAATATTGTGATACGATTTTTGTTAAACTTTTGTATTAATTTTTATAGAATTCCAAATATATTATTATTAATTTAAATATAATTATTTAAATATAAATCAAATGAAGAAATTACTTATACAAAAGAATTTCAAGATAGTATAAGTCAAATAAATATAACAAAACATTGGATAAAAATATTTTAATAAAATCCTCGATTTTTTGGTTTATTTTTAAAGCTTATTTTAATAAGAAGTTCGTCGAATTGGTCGTTGTCGTATCCGCTTCTAATTATTTGGTTAACATTAGAATGACACGATGGAATTGGAACTGGCAGCAACGCCTGTTTCTTTTATAATCCTGCTGATTAGGCGAGTACTTCTTCGCAGCCCGCCAGCCCAGAGGATCCAGAGGCGGCATCCTCGACAGCAGAAACAGTTGAATCGCAAAGGATCTGGCTTTGGCAACAATTTGCCACCAGGATAACACCGTCGGTTCAAAGGGTGGTGGAGTTTGCCAAAAAGGTCCCAGGATTTTGCGATCTTTCGCAGGATGATCAACTAATCCTGATTAAGGTTGGTTTCTTTGAGGTCTGGCTAAGCCATATTTCAAAGATGACCACCGATAGTTCGATGACATTCGAGGATGGTACTTATATCACTAGGCAACAAATGGAATTGATGTACGAGGTAAGAATTAGTTATCACAACACATGCTCGTTACAATTAATGATAACTGGATGTAAAAAATTGTACATACATTATTTTATTTCTGTATAAATTATTTAAAAAACAATATTTAAAAATAAACTTCAAATTGAAATGGAATTAAATCTCATATTCATATGTCAAATATTATTAAAAACTTTTCGATACTCTTTTTCATATTAAAGTTATTAATTATCAAAATTAATTGATCGATATGAAACAAAACAGCCAGATTTTGTGTCTGCTTTGATGCAATTTACATCGGCCTTAAACGCTCACCAACTGTCGGATACCGAGTTGGGACTTTTCTCTGGTGCCGTTCTTCTGAGCGAAAGGCCAGGCCTGAATGATGTGAAAGCGGTACAGAGGCTTCAGGATCGCCTCTTGGAGGCATTGAAGGTGCAAGCATTAAGGAACCATACAGTTTCCGGTGAGGCTACCTCCGCGGGCGGGTGTTCCGGTGTCTCGAGCGTTTCACAAAGGATACCAGAATTAAGGGCCTTAGGTGCCAGACATGCGAATCTTCTCGACTGGTTCAGAAGGAACTGGACCAAGCTCAAATTACCACCCTTGTTTGCCGAGATATTCGACATTCCCAAGTGTGAAGAAGATCTTCAATGAAGAGGTGATTATATAATTTTCTTGCGCTAAATCCATGCTTCCATTTTCATCTATTTGGTGTATTATGATTTGCAATTCAATCTGATAATGTATCATAAAAATTTTAATGATAAGATCGCCTTTGAAGAATGTTTCAGAGTACATCGAGTTAATTCGAGAACGGCCCTGCCGGAAGAATTTTTTTAATTGCCGGCGTTCATCGCACAAATGCAGCTCGGATTTCGAGAACGATTTATTTCCACTCGATGGCAGTGATGCACAACGGTACGATGACAAGAGGACGCTCGGTTTGTTTGAAAAAGAAGGATTGTTGCGATTAGGCACGATAACGCGTTTTAATTTCACCATTACCAACATCGTGTGCTTTTCGCTTATTGATATACAGACTGGAAGATGAATCGTTTCGAGCTGAAAGATATAGATTACTAATCGAAACACTCTTGAGACGATGTAAGAAAAAGAGAAAGTTTATTCGATCAACAAGGAATGATTTTTACAATGCAGATAATCGACGATTGAATCGATCGATAATGACGTATTGGAGGAAATATATATGAATGGATAACTTTTAAAAAGTTACTAGATTTAGAAAGAAAATACTTTCTTTAAAATAATTATAAAAGGCAAGTCCTCCTTCCATTGTTCTAAATTGTGCAATGGTAAATAAAGAGTGCAAACTAAGTTTCAAATAAAGCAGAACAAATTTGTATCATTTACTATATGTACAATATCATTGTTCCAACGAAAGCATTTAAATACTCAGCCGGTAAGGAAGGGAATCAAGTTTCGTATCATGCAAATTTCGCGCATATCGTTGATTGCAATAATGCGACGTAGTGATCGAATACGCGTCGCGTCGTAAAAATAGCACAAAATCGTGATCAATTTACAGGCACGTTTATTATTACGATTTATCCAGTTAAATAATTTTCAAGCGAATCTTTCGAAATCTCGATTAAATAAAAATTATACGAGTATTTAAAAAGACGAGTAAACAGTGTGCAGCGATCTGTCGAAAACTGTTCGAAATTTCACAAATACTACATATATGTAAAATGCAACATTGAACTTAGACATATCGAAAATATAATATTGTATTTTTTTCATACAATTCATTCAAAAATATTGTTTCCGTCTTTAAAGTGATTCAACGGATAGCTGCACGTTTATGCGATCACAAATAAAAAATAAATAAATATGCTTGTAACGTACATGCAAAAGATACACGTCCTTTGTAGCTAAAATACGGACAAATGCATGCGCGTACAAAACTGATACTTCACACTTATATACATATACAAATTAAAAAGTTTCACGCTATATAAAAGCTCAAAAGGAAATCTTTATAGGACGTATCTCTTTAGATGCATCCGCTACGAATCTCAATCTATGCAATCTCTATTTTTATTACTTGACAAGTAGTATAGTGAATTATCTTTATAGATATTGTTGCATCGCTTCAGGGTGTTCCGCGATTATTAAAAATAATAAATGAAACTATTTTTTTGTTAAAATTTCTCAAATTGTCGATGTGATTTGTCGATTTAGTAAATAATATCTTGTGTAACAAAAAAAAAAAAATGAAGAGAAAGGAAAGAGTTGAACGTTATGTATTCAATGTATTTGTTGTGTTAAATTGTTATTATATTTGTTATTGATCTACGGCTGAAAATCGTTTATTAATTGTTAACGAAATCCTGAAGTGAGCATGTTTGAATCTTCGAACTCTTGAATACTAATAATTCTCTGACAATGACTAGCATGTAATGTGTATCAATATGTAATTAATATACATATATATATGTATATATACAGTAGTGGATAAAAAAAATTTACAGAGTTATACATTACAAAATACTATAATTTATTAAGGAGAAATTATATTTTATAAAAAGAATCAATATATGAAAATATAGATTATCTGAAAAAATAAAATTAATAATTATAGTATAACATACATATAAGAATGAGAAAACATATATTTTATTTAAAAAACACAACATTTTATTTAAAAAATAAGAAAGTTAATTAAAAAACTATACAAATTTATTTATAACTTTTTATATAATCAAATATATTTATTTTTGAATTTGAGATCTAATATTTTTTATCAATTGATGATTTTTGTTTTAAAATTTTCTTAAGATTTGAAATTTTATAAAATCTTTTTTTGGTTTAATTATATTAATTTTTATCTGTACATTAATTTATATTATATAATTTATATTATATATATTTTTACTTCTATATTAAATATTTAGTATCTTCAATTTTCATATTATTTTTATAATTTATCTATTTTAATAAAAAAACAAATATAGTAAAAATTGATTTATAAATTTTGTATTTTATAATATTATTATAAAATTTTGTCCCAATAGTTTCTATTTCATAAATAGAATTTTACAAATAAACGAACATTTACATATCAGTATGAGAATTTTATAAATCAGTCATATAAACATAATGTCAAGATCTAGCATTAAAGATATAATTACACAAATATACGAAAATATCGTTTTTTAATTTTTTTAACCGCTACTGTATATATTATATATTCATTGTGAGAAATGAAAAAAATGTAAGTTTATCTATTAGAGAAATTAATGTTTTATCTAGCGTCGTACTTAAATTAAATATAATATATCGTCGGTATATCACTGTCACTAAAAAATGAAAGAAAATATGAAAAAAGACTATCTTCATGATACTAGAAGGACGGAAAAATTCCAACTCTAAGCGCTCACATCATGTTGTGAATAAACATATCATACCTAATTAATATATTGAACAAAGAAGGAATATCATCGTTTAATATAATATAAATATGAGTCTATATATATTAAAAAAATATATATATAAAGATTATAAATCTATATGCAAGAAGAATAGTTATTAAATGCATTATGTCGAACGAGCGTAGACCTACAACGGTAGGCCATTTTTCAATCTACTAAAACAAAGAAATTATATTATACATATGTGTACATCCACGCACATTGAGCATACGTATATACGTGTACACAATTCAACACATCTTTTTTTTCTAATTCCAATTCCTCCGATAAAAATCAACAACCAAATATTTCTCTTGGTTCACTTACAATCTACCAAAAAAGATCTGCGCCAAAAGACATAAGAAAAAAAGCATATGCAGCGAGTCATTTCGAATATCTTTTAAATTATTAATTTTATCCTCTTCGTCGTGAGACACATAAAGGAGGAAAATCTCAATAAAATGAGAAAAGATCAAATCATTTGATACACAATACATTATATTAAATGATTTGATTTTTATAAATATATATATGAGAATTTTCATGTTCGAAAAAATTCTGTAATTTGAATCTAGTGGCTGTCCTAATCATCTATATTAATCTAAAAATCTAATTAATGAAAATGAAAAAAGAGATAAAAAGTTACGATATTTTCCTCCTGTGATATTTGAATTGCGATTCGTTCATTCGTTTTTTTCAAAATTTCTAGTCCCCACGACTTATTCGCCGAGTTAGCAATCGTATGACATAATATTCTCGTAAACGTTGTTGGAACACGTTAATTGAAACGGCCAAATACTTAAATAACAATGTTAACATAATATAACTATTATTCAATCGCGCAGGTCAATCATCTTCGTTAAGCAATAGTAATTCAACATCAATCGTTCAATGTCATTAAATATTTAAAAATGTACTATATTCCTACGTGAAAAATAACTCCACATGCTCATTCATTCTTGTATCTTGTATTTTCTTTCCTAATTCGCTCAACTATTTTAGTAAGATTGAATAGGAAAGTGATTGACTGGCATAATCAAAACAATAAGAATGATAATTATGAAGTTATATCATTTAAGCTAAAATATAACATCCTTTTCTTCTTCCCTTCATCTCGTGTTCCGACCGAAGCGCAAGACTTTTTCCCTTTTACACTTTTTCCTCTTAATCCCATTCCCATTTTCGTTTCATCTACTTTAATCTCGTATAATGCTATTTTTTAACCTTGAGATTTCGGTCATGGTGCTATAATATCTGTACATACTGTGGGAATCGTTACGTAATCATTGTACCATTATTATTAATATTATTCGAATTAATCGTATTCAATATGGTTATTATTATTATTTTATTATTTTGATATCATTGATACTCATATTTACATGAGCGTTGCGCCAAGTTATGAATTTGTTTCGTATTTTGCATATAAATATTGGGAAACGCTATAAACAAAAAAATGGCGGTTCTTTTAATTTTTTTTAAGAGATAAAAATATATATAGCATATATTGTATATATATGCTATGTATATATATTATAAATATATATATATAGTATATTCCGCCCGTAAAACAGGACTCTGCAATAATCATGATTTTGTTTGATATTGATTCTATGATTGTATATTTATAGATAAGTTGTGCTCAAGCGTACATCTTACGTACGCTGCATCACATATATTATACATACTCTTCTTTTTTATATAGGCGAGATATTGACTGCATATTATATTTATATTGAATGTTTTATAAATCATGAAACAGGAACTAAATATTTCTTATGATTCTAAAATAAATATATTTCTCAAATTAAATATTACAGAATTCCTAACAAAACAGATAATAATCTAAAGATAGTAAATTAAAAAAATATTTTCTCAATAATATGTATATATTGTATATTGGTTAAATCACTTATGATCATTTTACATTCGATATAAGATCCTCAATTTTTTTTCTTTGTTTTGTGATTTATAAAACAATCAATATATACAATATATTGAAGTGATTAATATAATGATAATGATGGATGATGGCGTGCCAAGTGAGGCGGGAATTGTTCTTTAAAAGCAAAAAAAATATAATATTACATATATATGTATAAAATAATATAAACGACGATAATGATATTAAGATAAATAAGTACGACAAAACGACTGCTCTATACTGCTAAAGTACAAATGTTTCATTTTAATTGTTTTATAAAAACGATATCGATTTGTTAGAAATTAGGTTTAATACGTGCACGCTCTGGCGCGCGATGTACGTTTAATTATATTTATTTGTTAATCACTCCCTCCCTGCCTCTCTCTCTCTCTCTCTCTCTCTCTCTCTCTCTCTCTCTGCATAAAACATAGTAATCCCTCCATCACGTGTCTTAACAACGCATGCGCAATGATACGCTCAAATTCACTCATTTTACTACGCGTTTAACCTCATACGCAACATGTACTCTTTCCTGCCGTACTTATGTATTTAAATTGCATGACATACAACATACAACATATTTTGGTAATAATATGGTTGCATACAGATATAAAAAGATATGAAATTTGTCGTTTTCGTCGTAACACATATAGACTTTGAATGGTCTCAAATAATACAGACAATCAGGTATAATGATGTCTGACGATCGATGCTGAACAGGGAATATAACTTGTAAACTTCAATAATATTTTTTTCTATGCAACGTTTCCCAGTCATTTTCAATTAACTTAATATGATAATATTTGGTGTGTGTGATTCTCTCGCTATTATAATAATAATTATGATCATGAAAATATTATATTTTGTTCGTTTTAAAGCATATAAAGATATATATAGATATAATACTATAGAATAAAGTTTAAAAAAAAAATGTATATAATATAAAGAAAACCTCGATTATTGAAAATTGATTTAAAAATAAAAAGAAAATAAGAACATTTCTATAAAAGAGAACTTTTTGCAAAATATCTGTAAAATTTATAGATTGGGAAACGTTGATTTATTTAATCAACATACGACAATAATACGTAATATTATTTTGTTATAAAACAACGAATTGTTTAAAAAGATTATTTATTAAAATATAGTAATATTCAATATCTTTGTTCGTAAAAAAAAAACGATTTCAATTATTTTTATGTTATTATAAGATGTTTAATTGATTTATGGTCAAAATATTAATGCAATATACATTTTTAAAAAATTTTTATGTTTTAATTCAAAATGTAATTATTATCAAACAAAAATGTAAAAAAATATTTTTCTAATTAAAAAAAAAGATATTTAATCTTAATACTCTACTGTGAATAATAATTCCAAATAAAAATGCATAAAATAAATTTAATATATATCATACATATTCAATAAATACGTTATTATTGTCGTTGCTTGATTCCATCATATATATCCAATGTTGTATTTCTAATTCATTCATGGATATTTATTAAATATATTTTTTGTTTTATATAATGCTTCACTCATGCTGGTACTTAATCGCATCAATATCATTTCATCGATATTCGAATAATTTCTAATATTTCAGAATATATTTACCAATCCAAATAACGATTCAATCCATTAAATTAATACATTTCCAATGTAATGTGTTTTCTCTATTTCCTATTAGATGAATTGAATTAATTTATCATTATAATTAATACACGCTTATGTTCAGACAAATATTATATTAATGCGAAATATTAGATATATAAATAATAATTTTGAGAAAATTATATATGATATTTGATTTGTAAAATAAAATTAAGTATAATAAAATACGCAATTTAAACTAATTCAAAATAAAAGATCATGACAAATAGGGAAAGCAATGCAAAAAATAAAATAATTATCTGGAATAAGAATTGAAATTTATGAAATAATAATTTGAATCTATTGCAATTATGTTATCTGAAATTTTGACATCAAGGAAATTTAATGGAAAACAATTATGCTATCGCAATGCATTTCGTTCTAATAAATGCGCAAGAAAATAAGGAAATAAAATACGTATATCTTTATAATACTGTCACAATAATCGATTAATATTTTATATTTTTTCCTGTAAGACAAAAGTTTGTCCATTTTAGCTCTTT